TTAGGGTTTAGAGTGCCTCCTTTAAAAGTACAGCCTCAAAACAGCCCAAGATAGTCCTGATGGACAGGTCAAGACAGATCACCATCTGTGGACCTAAATTGTGTCATGGTCATGTTTCTTTGCTAAAAGTAAAAAGAAACATAAGTCATTCAGTGCGAGGAGCAAAAAGCAAGTTTTCTTTTAGTTTGTTTTACAACACTTGCAACACAAAAAAATCAGCCACAAGAAAAAAAAAATAGGAGTAGGGATCAGGACGATACTTGTTTATAGGAAAGAAGGCACAAACCACACCAGAGTACCCATCAATCACCCATGAGAAAAAATACAGGTCGAAAGAAACAACACACTAAAAGCAAAGGAAGAGTAGGACTTAGGCTACCGACCAGCAGCGTGCACTAACCATCTGCACTGTGTCAAGGGCAAAAAACATAAAAATTAAAAATATTAACCTAAATTCCAATGAAGCAACACCAGAGAATGCATTCACAACATATTATATTGTGTTTTTGTCATGTGGAGAATGGACGTGTACAAAGTAAACGACAGTAATATATTGACAATGGCAACATTAGAATTGAGTGTGACACCACAGTAGTCAACATGAACAGTAAATGTTGTTCTCCTCACTATAGTGAAGACTCTTCACTAACTAAACAATATAAACATTGTGTCTGTGGAGAATGGATTACTACAAATTCTACATCACAACATATCAATTTTAACAATGACAAACACAAAGTCACCCCCGGGGCGGTGCTCCATACTGAAGTGTCTTTAGGCCATTTCCAAAGGGGGGACATAAGCCTGTTCTTATGCACAATAGAATTGTAAATGGGCTGATTCATCGATGTCATGCTCATAACTGTGCCCGAACTGCAACAGGGAACTGTTGCTTTTTCTTTCCTAATCCTTACTATTGTCATTTTTCTCAACTTTTTTGTATGTTTGTCACACTCTTGTGATCCGGTATTTCCGGGGAGCCTTGATAGTGATAGTCGAAGCAGACTTTGTGCTGTTGAAGCTAGAGAAGTGAGAAGAATAAGTCTGATTCCTTGTGAGGACTTCTCTTTTGATATCCACCCCTTGGCGCTTATATGACCTTATGCTGTTGCAAGCGCCGTAAAACCTCTACTAAAACTATAACCCCCCCCACCCCCCAAAAGTAAGACACGACTGCAGTCAACACGAGCAAGTACATGATGTTGTATACTCCTCGTTATAGTGGAGACCCTTCACTAACGAAACAATATATCTGTCTGTGGAGAATGGATTCAATACAACTTCTACATTACAACTACAACAATATTAATAGTGACAAACACAAAGTATGATGACATCCCTGTTATCAATACAAACAAGTACAATGTATACATATTTCTATAATATGTTGTATGCCTCATTTCATTATAGTGCAGTGGAGACCCTTCGCGAACTTAACACTGTGTCTGTGAAGTATGGATAAATACACAGATGTGAAATGTGCTGACAAAATGAGTTACGGTATTTCTCGCAATCCACAAATTGAGATTGGCCAAAAATTGATACTAAGGTCAAATTTGTATTTTTTATTGATTCCACATTCTTTAAGTATAACATGCCATTTACAATTTCATACTTATAAACAGTAAAAACTATACCTATAAGCGTGATGTATCTTATTTCCATAGGGCTCGAATCCGAGACTCAACTCATTTAGTCAGCATGTTTCACATATTGACATATGTGAGGCAGCGTGATGGAATCAGGCTCTCGTCAAATAATCAAATTGAAGAAACCTGCATTTTTCCGCAGGTTTGTGAATTTTTATCTAGTTTTTGTTTTTTGGCTCAACACCTTTCATGCCCATTAAAGAACTTATTTCTGTGTGGAATTTTCTCAAAAACGTTGATTAAAGGCACAAAAAAAGTAAATGTTCAATTACCACGGACTCTTAAGCTAAGGAAATAACCAATCTTTGGCGGCCATTTTCTGACTAATTTTTCCTCTGAAAACAGGTGACCCCCACCTCCTTCATTCGCAAATATCTCCACTTGTATTCAAGATAAATGGACAATTTTTCATCCAAATAAAGACAAGTGAACAAACTTTAAGATGATACCAATAACTCTACATACATGCCCAAAAATAGACGAGAGCCTGATTACACCACGCTGCATCACATTATATATATATGACAATGATTGTCAAGGAGTGTGACAATGCTGTAGTCAACAAAAACAAATTCCTTATTTGAGACTATCCACTAACAAAAAGTACTTGGTTTCGTTTTGGTAAGAGTTTTATAACACTTGCAACACAAACGCATCTGACAGTCATATATAAATGCTGAAGATAGAAGGTGTTACTAGTGAGTAATATACAAAGAAAAGAAAGAGGAGGGATACGGAAGACAGATGTTTGAAACGAAAGAGGGAGTTGAAAGAGATGTTTTAAGCCTACACAATTTGCAAAACATTGGTAGAATTGTAATTAATTCATCAAAACATTTTCATAGATTCCAATTCTGAACCCTGAGAACTCTTATCTCAGAATTCATAACCACACTGTCAATACATTGTATAATAAACAAGTGTTAAAAGAACTAAAACGTGGATAAAAGTTTTTCAAACCAAGAGCTCAAACTAATTTGACTTTAGGGCATACATCAGCTCTCCAATTTGTTGCAGATATAAGACAAATCAATGGCAGTAGGGTATTTGTACAGTAAACTCACTGTAGCATGATAGACTTCTTTTCAGAAACAACAAACAATGAAAAATACTCCAGTACAATCCGCATCAATCTAAAACACACTTTGATACCTCTCTTGAAAAGGTAAAATCCTAACAACATGTACAATGTTGCCAAAGGCAGATTTCAATGTAGTCATAGATTCTTTTGGTAAAAATGGTAGAAATATAATTTTTTATAAGCCAAAATGATATGGGCTTTAAAAAAAAAAATATTTCTCTTTATCTCCCTTCTCCTTCTACTTCTTCACTCTCTCTTGCTTTTAAAAGAATTTTACAACTAAAACTAAATGGACTTGTTCACAAAATGCTCAACAGATGAGAACAATTGTAATCCTCCACTCACCTTCATCCTCACCTAACTGCTAATCAAGCGATGCTGTTTTCTACGACAAACTTTCAACTTGAATGTACACCTATAGATTCTACATGTATCTACAACCCTGAGAAATTCTGACGAAACTTCTTTTCAGATAACTTGAATAATGTATTTGACATAATAGCTGATTGCACATCGTAAGGTCAGATCTATCACGGCTATAAAAATCTATAGTAATATTTTAATCAAGTTAAAATCATTACTCCCGAATATAGATCTACCTGTCTACAAACAGAAAGAATTCTGTTACCTGTTGCTTACTTAGTTCAAAGAAAGTCCAATGAATGAATGAATGGCTAATCTTTACAATTTAAAGAAATGCATTATTGTAAAAGCAAATAAATTATTTTGTTTAACCACTTTGAGAGAGCTAAAATTTAATGCCAAATAATTAACTGAAATGCTGGATGGTACCACCTCCTACATATATGTGTGTGTTTTGCCAGGAAGACATTGGCCAACATATAATTTGAAAGTCTTGTCTTGATGAAAGATCTCTGGCTTCCTGTTTCCAGCAATCCAGTACATGTATTATTTTAGTATGCAAGCAACTCCCAGAGCCAAACTTCAGCGGTCATATTCTCTTAGAAAGGCAATAAGTATGAAAATCTGTGGCTGTTTTCGAAGTTCATAAAATAATTTTGCTAGGTTAAGTTATGGTTGCCATGCCATTTATAAGCAAACAGATAAGGGAACATTAAAAACCAGCTGTATATAGCCCGATTGTATGTTTGTCACATAGATCAAGTAGCAAGGAAATAATATTGTTCAGTTCATGTAAGTAAATGCCACCACAACTGTTTGTTAACATTTTGACCAAAACATCAGGGTAGTCAACAAAAAATAAATGTATAATATGTAATTAATTATAAATTCTTTCTCCTCAGAGTTTTACTGCTAAGAAAAGTTGCAAATACTTTCCATGACAGATACTCAGAATCAGATCTACGAAAATGTAATAATTGAAAAAAACCCAACTATTCACAAAATGCTGAAATATTATTTATAGAGATCATGTAGATATCCATTTTACATATAAATTTATAATTCTAGATATCTGCTGGCCATATGTGAGATTGAGTTTCTGATCCACCTGTCCGACGGGAAGCCATCTGCTCCAACATCTAAAAAACCTACACTGTTTCACAAAACATCAAATATTAATTACAAAAATGAACAAACAGGGGTGTCTGTCTAACAGCAACCGACATAAGAAGCAAGCTTTCCTTGTTCTTAGGCGGAGGTTGTTGCTATGCTGATGACTGAATTATTTTCAATTTTTTCAATTTTTTTTTTTGGGGGGGGGGGGGGGAGTTATCTGCCATAACGTCAGTGAACTGACTGCCACAGAAGTACACACCGCACATGGCGCACAACACCAACAGGTTGGCTACTTGATTATCTTTCTCCCATGAGAAAGGCATAGAAATTTGAAATAGAGAGAGAGAGGACTCTTGGCTCTGAATACATGAGCATGTACATGTATATCACCAAGAAAAAGACAGTTTTCAGACACAGATCACACAGCAGAATCATGTTCCTAGACGGTGACATTGGGCAGTCGGGGCAATACAACAGAGGAACCCCTTTGATTTTGAACAGCCAGCCCCACTGTGCCACCAACTTCATGCCCGTCCCAAGAGGGGAGGTATATATTTTTATATATATATATATATATATATATATATATATATATATATATATATATATATATATATATATATATTACAAGGTTTGACTGTATTAAAATCAGCCCCAAATTTTGAACATTTGTTAATTGCAGTTTTTTAATCTGTGGTATTATTTGCAGAGTGCTCAAGAAATATTTTTACGAAATTCACACTCTTAAAGTTGAAGAAAAAAAAAGGCAAAAGAAATAACATAATTTTGGTACAATTGTTAAAAGAATAAAACAGTTTTTTCCTCTCTCCTGTAAAATATTATGCTTTCTCGGCCTAGTATATTTCAACATCCTGTCGATGATATGCATCCTTGACTTTACGGTACTTTACCATATTCATCCGTGCCAAACTTTTTAGTTCAAGAGTCTTTGTTGCCTGACAAAACAAAGGAAGAACCAGGAATACACAAATTGCACAATTGGAGCTCTACAAGCACACTCCGAGTCTCTCTCTCTCTCTCTCCTTTTCACTCTCAAAAATATGCCCAAGCACGTGTATATCACTGATATGAAGAATGTCATAATGGTAACTGAAAACAGTTCCCTGGACTGTCAATAGAGTATTCTGGCATTAAACACAAAACTTGATACATGTAGAAAAATGACTTGTTATGTAAAAGGTACCTAGGCCTATTACATATATATATACACAATGTTCGACATTTCACAAATTTGAGCTGATAAAGTTGATCTATTTATAGCACATTAGGTTTACTTGAACAGTGAGTAACAAAAGTCTATCCCTGAGCAAAAAATGCTAAAAATAACCTGAATCCAGCAGTGTTTACCACAATTTCTACATAGTTATAAAAAACAATATCTCATTCTCAGTCTTATCAACTGTTTCTGAGGAGGCATACTTCCCTTTGGCTTTCAAAAATCTTTAGGAAGTAGGATAGTAGTAATTCAAATTTAAAGTGCGCATAGCTTGATACACAGTCATGTTTGGCTCATACGCTGCAGGATCAGTAGCAGGGTTCTGAGGGCGTTCATAGTATTCCAAGCTGCGGTCGTAGCGACAGTCATTCTGGGATGGATGCTGCTGCTGCTGCTGCTGCTGCTGTTGTTGCTGTGGCATATCAAACACAGAAAGAACTCTCTGGTCTTTGAGCTCTGTCTTATGTGCCAAATGGGCCTCACTTTGCTGACTGTCGAGAGCATCAAACACAAGAGGCCCAACAGGCATGGCAACAGACATTGGCAGAGTTGTAAGTACCTTATGATCCTCCATTAAAGTCAGTGGTCCATTTGGCTGGAATTGCAATGGTGGTTGGGACGACTGCGGAGGGGGAGGAGGTGGTGCAGGAGGAGGAGGAGGAGGAGGAAGCGACGGTGGAGGAACAGAGTGCGGTGGAAGAAGAGATGGACCAGGAGCCTTCATGCTATTGCCAGCAACTTTCCTAGTGGCAGCAGCCGCAGTAACCGGCAGCTTGCTCAGATCTCCAGAAAGGGCAGCCTGAGGGTCTTGTATGCCATGAGTTCGGCGTAAGTGTTTGTTCTTTCCATACGTGGTGGTGAAGCCTGCATCACAGATTGGGCATTTGTGCGGCTTCTGTCCTGTATGCTTGAGATTATGTTTGATGAGATTGCAGCGCTTCGTACAGCTATAACCACACGCTGTGCACTTGAAGGGGCGTGGCCGGTTAGCATCGTGGATTTTCATGTGTGCAGCGAGTGCAGGTTTTGTTCTGAACCTTGACGAACACGTAGGACAGATGAAAGGCTTCTCCCCACTGTGCTTCCTCACATGGTTCTCGTAGGGTTTTTTACTGATAAAGCATTCGCCACAAGTATCGCACTTGTAAGGAGCCTCCCCAGCATGCACTTTGAGATGAAGGTTAAACGTCTTCTCCTTCTTGAAGCTCAGATCACACTTGTCACACTGATATGGTTTCACTGAACTGTGTTTGCTTTTGTGGTCACGAAGATTGCACCGGAAACGATAAGCTTTCCCGCACACTTCACATACAAATGGTTTGTCTCTAGCCTTTGGCCCATGTCGTACCTCTTTGTGGTAATCATATTTCTTCTTACTGACCAGAATAGCCCCACAAAGTTCACAAGGGTACCTCTGCCTGGTGTGCATTGACTCGTGCTTATGAAGGGTACCTGAAGACTTGAACACTTTTCCACAGAAGGTACACACTCCTCCTAAATCGTCCGGCATGGTTTCTTCGGGATGCTTTTGAAGGAAATGTTGCTTCAGTACACATGGCCAACGGAATGGTTTGGCACAGATTGCACATTCATAATTGTATTTTTTTTCCTTGTTCTTCTTGATAGGGAGCTTCATTCCAAGCTTCTGAGCCTTCAGTAGAAGTGCTGCTTTGGACTGGAGCTGTTTCTTCCTCACTTCTTCAGCACTCACGACTTCTCTTTCTGTTGTAGATTGGCTCTCCTCAACCCCAGTATCATTGAGAGTATCACCAGAATCATCTTCTTCATCAGAAATCACCTTATGGGTACCTTCTTCTTCTTTGTCGTCTTTCCGAGGATGACTCAACAAGTCTGCACTTCCGTTTTCCTTAACAGAATTGACTGGTTCTGATAATTTTAGTTTATGTCCATTAGACGCTTGGGAGGAATTTTCTGAAATTGTGACAGACAACACATTCAGGCTGTGAACAGACTTAAAATGGGAGGCGAGATCAGTTTCATCCATACACAGAGTTGTGCAGATGTGGCATTGGAAAAAGGAATTCTTCTTTGCCTTTTGGGATAATGTTCTCTCTAAAACAACAGAGGGATTCATAGCTGCTTGTTTACTGTCTGAAGCTTTTCCTCCTCTTCGAGGATACTTTCGTTTCACAGGGCTCACCTGATCTGCAGAACACTTTGAAACACCTAGCTTTGCCTTAACTTGGGGTCTCTTCCTCAATCGCTCTTTCCTCTTTGGCAGCTTTTGAGTCTCATCCTCTTCTGTTTTAACTGCATCTGGATTTGTAACTGCCTCAGTTTTTGTTTCACCATTTTGTAATTCTGAACTGAGAAATGATGAATCTTCCTCAATTGAGTCTTCTAATTCTCCTTCTTCACCTTGTGCATCAAGCCGCTCTGACACTTTTTTTTTCACACATCCAAAGTTTACTTCACAGCTGCCATCTTGACAAACACCCTTTTTCTGACAAACATCAAACACATCTTTGAGATCAGGGAACTTTGTCTTCAGCAAAATGCTCAGAGATTCATTAGCAATTCCTCCGATGATTCGATCTCTCAGCTGTAGAGTCTTCAGCTCACAGAATTCAAAAACTCGAATCAAGTCTGCTAGGAAACTGCAAATACATTCTCCTTTCTTCTGAGATATGGAGAAGAACTTATATCTCTCGTACAGCAGAATGAACTTGGGTAAACAAGCACTGCTGATTTTTTCCAGGAGGATATTGGCAGCCACATCTTGGTCATCACTATAAGTGGCAAGGGACTTGACCATCTCTACGACCTGCTTGCCTCCGAGGTAAGACAAAAGTGACTTTTTTCTTTGACGACCCTTCCCAGGCCCTTTAGGAAGCAGCTTGTCGTAACTGTTAAACCTTTGGTTCAGGCTGTGCCAATTTCCAAGAGTTAGTTTTGCAGACTCTTCGAAATCAGACGGTAAAGGTACCATGAACTCCATGGTGTCTCAAAGACTAAACTGAAGGTTAGATGATTTACCGCTAAAAAATAAAGCTCAGAACTTGTCCATTGGTTTGATGCCTGAAAAAGAAAGAAAAACAAAAATGTGTGACATATGCAGGTCCAGTCCAATCATAAACAAATCTAAAAATTTACAAAAAAAGAACGAACAAATGTTGAGGTGGACATTAACCATGACCGAGAAACGTGCTTAGAGCACAAACAGTTCTAAACAGTCAAGTCCCCAGAAGTCGATGATAAGCAGGCTGTAAGTGTATAACAGAAAGTCCAAGAAGCATACCAGAATTTATAAGAATTTTATCCTGCAATGGGCAATCTCCAAAAGCCAAAACGCATTCTGTTCACTTTGGAAACTTAAGCTCCTAAAGTCTCAGGCAAGATTAGACTAACCTTCCCCTCACCCGTATTCCAAAAATACTAAATTTGATATTAAAATTCACAGTAAAATTAGATTCAATCTAAGCTTATGCAAAATATAGGTTAACCACGTGAGACAGCTATGCCACACAGCACAGAGAACATAATATTGAGCACCAGTGCATACATCATTCACAATGTCAATTTGATTTTGATTCAGACGGCTAGCCACATTTTCATTTTCTTTTGTATGGCAAAAAAAAAAAGTGACCATTTTGGCACAGTGCAACTGAATTCAACTTAATTCGACGGTGATCTTTAATATTAAACATGCTTGTTTGTAAATGTTGCGGGTCGAATCCGTCAAAACTGGTGGTTAAGATTTTTTTTTTTTACTTCAGTGCCCCCCCCCCAAACGGTCCAAAGTCAAAGCGCGCAAATAACTACATGGTGTGATGCAGCTCGATCAAAAACCATCAAATCATCAAATATTTTTTAAAACTAATTAACGACGGAAATGAAGTTGATATTCTCGTGTTCAGTGCATCAATAGATCTTGATCTAGATAAGTATAAGATAGATATCTAGCAGAAAATGGACAACTGGTACCTAAGCTTGTGACGGGAGGGAAAGTAAAAGAATGCAACAAAAAATCAATAGTAATTTTTATTGAAGTGACTATTTCTCCGAACGCTAGGGAAAATAAACTTGACCTCTATTTCCCCAAATGGTTTCTGTTCTCGAAATTTTTTGGTAATTTGAGAGATTTTGGCGTCATCTTTCATTCTGCGAGGACTCGGAGGAAGCATTTTTTTGCATCATTTTCAATTTCTAGATCTGGAGTTCTTTAAATGTCTGAATATTCAGACTTCAAATTGAAGTTCAATTGTGGTAGAGGCAACGTTCCTGGACTTTACTTCATTTGAAAATGCCTTCAAAAAAACGTACTGCAGGAGAAAACAAGACCGCTCGACCTTAGCAATAACCTATTTTGCATTTAGTCACCCCTAAAGCAAAAACAAAAATCCTTCATGTAAACAAAAAAAATCCCTCCACCCCCCCTCCCCCCACACACCTATACTCCTATACACACACGTACTCACTCTCACACACATACGCGGGCCACTCCATTCGCAAAAAAAACAACAAATCTCGAGAACGTAAACCACTCGGAGATTCAGAGAAATACAGTTCAAGTTTATTTTCCAGAGCGATAGATCTAGATCTAGATCCGGCCAAAAAAAGGCCAATTTTTATTAGGGTTAGGGCAAGGGGTAGGCAGTCTACTCTAAATCTAGAGAAATAGCAGAGTGAGAGGGTCACAATCATCATAATCATTCATTAGAGTTTGGGCTAGGGGAAGGGGGTAAGGGTTTAGGGGTAGGATTGCAGGATAGTAATAGTAGTAGTAGGGTTGTATAGATCTAGATCTAGATTCTAGGGATTGTTGGGGCCAGTACCAGATTATTCTCGTTCATCAACTTTCATTCATCACACAGTCACACAATCACCGAGCAGCAAGATTCTATTTCTTTCAGAAATTTTCTTTCTCTTCGAAAGACTCAGGCTCAGGACTACTAAGATAGATCTAAACATCTCTATTTTTTGCGTGCTATACCTTACTAAAGTGACCAAAGGCTAAAACTTACAGAAAAAAATCCACAAATGGAAAGAAATGTTCAAGTACTTTTATTTGTTTACAGTCGAGTCGGTCAGCCAGGAAACCAGGAAGGACGCCATCTTTGCCAGAGTTTTCTGAGAGTACAGAAGTTGGTACCAACCAACCAGGCTAATTCCATGATAATGTTTCGTTAAAACCGCGAAAAGTTCTGTGACCTGTGTAACATGCGATTTTTCATCTTACAACGTAAGGGTTGCAATAACGAATTATACTTGTATCATGATTACAAACAAAAGAGAAATAACAAATTATTGGAAATAACATAATAGGCTAGGCCTACCAACTTTTCATTTTTGTTGTTGTCGGGCCTCCAGTTGTCTTTGATTACTTGCCTACTATACATACTGTTTGCACCCAAACCAGTCAGTCCGGGGCATACGTGGGAGGAGGAGGAGGGGGGGGGGGGGGGGGGGGGGGGGGTACATCGATCTGTTACTTCAGTTCAGTAAAAGTAAAAGAAACTTTCCAAAAGTTGACTCGATTACAAGTGACACAGAAATAACGCGTGTGATTCTACAGTATTGTATTGATGAGTATAGACAGAGCAATAGTGGACCGTGTGTGTGTGTTTGTTTTAGTAAGAGTTTTAAGACACTTGCAACACAATAAGGTCATATAAGTATAAGTGCCGAAGATTAGAGGTGTTACAAGAGAGTAACAAACACAAAAAAGGAGGGGAGATAAAGACGATAGCTAGACGTTTGATAGGAAAGAAGAAGCATACCACACCAGAGCACCCGCCAACCACCCACGTGTGTGTGTGTGTGTGAGTGAGTGTGTGTGTGTGTGTGTGTGTGTGTGTGTGTGTGTGTGTGTGTGTATGTGTGTATGTGTGTGTGTTAGAGCGAAGGCGTACGTGTTTGCTTATTTGTGTGCGTGTGTGTGCGCCTGCGTGTTTGTGTTAGCGTATATATATGGTGCATGTGTATAAAATTTGTGTGCGTGTGTGTGCGTGAGCGCGTGTGTGTTAGCAGCATGCGTAGCTTAGTGTAGGCATGTATTCTGTGCATGTGAGAGCCCGCGCGTGCGTGTTTAAATCATGTAGGTGGGTTTCCGACCCTGCCTGTAGTGTCAGGCCCAACGGTCCCAGGTTGAGAACGATGCAACACCTAAACAAAATGATCGAAATAGCCTATTGTACTCGATTAGAATTCCTCGGCTTAAAAAGGTTTCGCCCACTCGGGTACCGACCTCGGCTCTCCTGCTTACAACAACGATTTCGAAGAGCTTAACACTTAAACGCTGCACTGTGCTTTTCTGACTTGTGTGCGGCGAGCGGGAAGCACACTTTGAGTAACCTTGTGTTCAGGCTTGCACATTTCTCCAGTCGATGACACGTTTGTTGAACTTAAACTTAAACAGAAGCAGACATAAGCCCTGGGCATCTCTTTCGTGGATGTAAAGAACAAGAACAGCATTGACTCGAGTGAGTCTCTCTCGCTGCATCGCATAATTTCTTATATGACATTTTTTAGTGTTCTCCTCTTTAGTTTCAGGGTGCTAAAGTAGAGTTCCGCTTCTGTGGATGTTACAGATCCATGTCGTGTGAACAATCTTCTTCATCATACAATGGAAATCTGATATAACCGTCAGGGATGGTAGGACCAGAGAAAAAGCCCTGTTTCTGTTACATTCGATCCCTGTTAAATCAAAAATGCAGGGGAAGTAAGCATTTGTGAACTAATCCAGATGTATTTATTCATGGGTAGTTTCCCTTGACACAAGTACCCAAGCACAGGGGTTTTTGCCTCGTGGCAGGCCTGCGCTTGACATATTATGCGTGCGTGTAGCTAGGCTTAGGGCTAGATTGAAGTCTGTCGCACACCGCAGCCCTCTCTCGCTTCACCCGCTGCATGTGCTTGCAGTTGCAGTGGCGTGGGCTTGTTCCATCATTACTCTCTCTTACTTTTTACACGTTGTTAACGAGCCTTGGTCCCTGCTATAACCCATTGGGTTCCAATGAGGCCCTTTTATTGCCGATCACTTTCAATAGAGACAAAGAGTAGCAAAAAACGGGAATTAAAAAAATACCTGTCATTACTGGATCCCTGTTATTACCAGGCCTGTTATATAATATATGGTTTCCACTGTACATACCATGTACATTTTGTGGATTTCTTTTAAAAGTATCCTGCAGACCCATAGACATACAGTCATGCAGTTGAACCTGTTAGTTCAAATAGCCACCAGTGCAAAAGGCCACTACCCATTCCTCCTTGCATTTTAAAAAACATAATTTATAATGACACTGTCTTAGACAACCACCTGTCCAATACATGTACAGCCAATTTTTAACTCAACAATGGATGGCTGTTTTAATAATACAGTTTCCATTGTATTCTCAGCAGACACAAAAAATTAGTGAAGAGATTAGACAGTTCAGTCTGTGCTCTACATGAACGAAAAAAAATTAATTGTGTACAGAACGTACCAGCCGTACCTTACTCAGAAGTGGGAACTACTTCTTTTCTTAGGTATGTGTACAATTTAGATCTTTTAGGAGGCTGACTTTGGGACAACTCGGACAGAGGATACAACATCCGAGAAGAAAGAAAGAGACTTAGAAACAAGTAGCCTACTTAGTACTGTATTCTATAAAAATTCTCCCCACATGAAAATCGAACAAGGGTTTTCTGTGTGCCATGGCGAAACACCTAACCTCTACACCACAGATGCTGGTTCCTCACGCTGACTGTCTATCTGTGACATTGACAAACCATTCAACCGGCCGTTGTCTTTCACGAACTTGACACTGTTGCTGTTACCATAGATGGTGACTAGCAGATGTTAGTGGTTTCATCTTCTGACGCTGCGATGAAATCCGATTTTGCTATTGATTCTTTGAGATCTTCAAAGTACATACATGCTTCCAAAGAACTAGAAACAAGTTTACGTTTTAGTAAAGTTTAAGGCACTTGCAACAAGAGAGGGAGAAATAAGGACGACAGATGTTTGAAAGGAAAGAAGGAGCAAACCACAACAGAAAAGCCAGGATTTCCTTTTGTTCCTGACTAATGTTTACCTAGCCACATATATGCAGTTTCAAACTATGCCCGTCAATCTGATTTATCTTGTGTACACTGAAAGTGATCAAACCAAGAAAACTCTCTTGTTACTATAGGAGATAAAACAGATTTATTGTGTCCTCCGAGATGCAGCTCGAGGAAACCACAATATTTGATGCCTTCAATAATCTCTGTTTGAAATATGCCTGTTTTCCTTAACTTGCTTATTGTGAAGTTCCAGTGATAGCTGATGACCTTCAAGTATTTGAGATATTTTACGTGTCCACTGACACAATTTCACTTAGGAGGCGGGCTTCGGCCTAGCAAAAGCTGTCAATTCAAAGCTGAAGAGCATATGGAAAGATAACTACCCCTGTGCTTTCCAGATGAGGCTGTGGAGGCAGGAATCTTGCATACTGCCTACCAAGTCAAGAAGAATATTCTGAATTAATTTGTGATCCACTCTCATCCACATCACAATAGACAGCAGTAGTAGCCCTAAATCAAGAAAACGGTATCTCTAAAGAGAAAATGAATAATGGCATACAATGAGGAACACATGAACAAATTAGGAGAGAGGAATGTTTTATTCCTTTCTGAAAAGAGAAACTTCATAAGCTAAGTGAATAAGAAATCCCCCCCCCCCCCCAACCTATTCACTTCTCTCTTCATTTTACATATATCATAAAAAATATTCATAATCATTGCACATCTAAACTGACATCCTTTTCAAGCATTCACTTAGCAACTGAAAGTACTGAAAGCAATAGATAAAGCTATTTACAACCAACGCTTCAGCAGTTTACATGGTAATGGTAAAAAAGTGTTCATATTTATATGAAACGGGCAATACAGTCTGTGAGAAGTTTTTGAAATGAACAAAATGAATGAAATTTGCTGCCTTAACTTGAAATTCAAGCATCTGAACAGAGCTTAATTATCAGTTGCTGAAGCATTTCTAAGTTGGAAAAAAGCTTTCTTGTTTAACTACTGAGTGTCAGTGCTACCCTCACTATCAAATACTCATGCTGTACAAACCCACAATATACATGTATTGCATGAATTTACAATAGAGGAGGTTTCAATGAATGATTTTTATTTTCAACGTATCAGTATCATATAATCCTCACACATCAGTCACACACACACACACTACCAAATACACACCTTGCTTCTCTTTCTCAGCATCAAAATACTCACACAAGAAGAAACACTAAATTGCAATATATTACAAAAAGACACTGAAAAACAAATATACAACATACATACAAAAGAAATGCTATAATGATATGTCAGGATCAACTGTGACTGACTCTTCCAATTTTGAAATGTCTTTTTTCATCTTGGCAATTGCATCCTTGGACTTCTTGAGTTTATCATTCATCTGGTCAATTTCAAAGCGTATCTTGCTGTGGGCATTAGTGATCTTGTTCTTGGTCCTTTCTTGTTTCTCTTCAACTGGAAACAATGGATTGGATATTTTGATAAGATTTAAATGACATTCACCATCCAATTACCAATATATAGAGGTGTAGTGTAAAATAAAACATCCTTTATTTCCTATATATGTTATACTTTGCTCTTGTAAATTATTGTGTGCTCCCCTTGACCTGCTTCTCAAAATATCTCCATCTACATGTACAGTCAAACCTCGTTGTACCACCAGCCTCGCTTACCACCAGGTTTTGCCACTGTACAAAGGTTGAAAAAGGAGTGTCTATATATATACACACATGGTATTTTCGCTTTCACAACGCCATCTGTCAACGGTCTGAGTTGTACGGTCATTATTTGACTAATGTAAATTTGCCCCGCCATACCGCCAGCCAACTGACAGCCTGAGGTGCACACTGCACACAACACCCACTGGCTGGCTACTTGATAATCTTTCTCCGATAAAAAAACATAAAAAAGATAGAGAGACAGAAGACTCTTGGCTCTGAAAACATGTTACAAATACAGGCATACCACCAACAAAAAGACACTTTTCAAACACAGATAGAACAGCAGAATCATTCCTTGACATGATTGGGCAGTGGGGGTTATTAGTATTAAACAGAATAACTCCATTGGCCCGCTGTTCCGCCAAGTCATCCCAAGGGTGGAGGTAAAATGAGGTTTGACTGTAAATGTGAAATGTGCCTCCTCTGAGAAGGAGTTAAAATATATTATACACAAAAATGGAAAAAAAAAAAGGGCAACAACTTCAAAAAGCAGGGCAGTGCATGCATGTTTAGATCTACCTCTACTCTTGAGTGTGAGAGTGGGTGTGTGTGTTTATAACAGTCTCTCAGTGTGAGTGTGTAATTTTCTCTGTGAATGTGAGTGCAAGTGTGCAATATTGAAGGAACATTTCATCAGCCACTTGCTCAGATTGATATTAAGCCCAAAATTTTGAAAATTTAAAAATTGTTAATTCTTAATTTGTGGTATCGGTTGAATGTGTTTGAAAAATATCTTATTTGAAATTCAGTTTCTTGATGTTTGAAAAAGCAAGAAAAGATACATTATGAAGGTATAATTGTTAAAAGAACTAAAGAGTTTTTAAAAAATACTTTCTTGAATGGGTGGGATGTTAAAGGGGGGTGGGGGTGGAGTGAGTAAGTAAAAAAAAAATCAAAGAAATTATGTCAGATTTATTTATGAATATCAAAAACTACACCTGACCAATTTTTTCTTACTTACAATCAGTCTCATGTTTGTATGGCCCTATTCCCAGGGATGTTGTGTTGGCCAACATGGAATTCATGGCTGTGGTGGGATCTTGGAAAACCTGTAATATCAAACAAACATTCAAAATGTAGGACCTGTAAGATGGTAAAAGTAGATTATCGCTGTGATGAAGGCCAGGTTAACGTCCAAAGAAATAGAAACATAGTTTAAGATTTAATAAGGTTTAAGGCGTTTGTTAACACAAAAAGGTCATATAGGCCTATGTGTCTAAGATTAGAGGGTAATGTACACAGGAGAGAAGGAGGGGAGATAACAAGGATGATAGATGTTTGATAGTCAAAAGAAGGAGCAACCCACACTGGAACACCCATCAACCATCCACCTAGAAACATAAAGAGAAGATGAAAGAGGTAAACTGTAAATGGTGGGGGAAAGATGTCACAAAGAAAACAAAAAGACAAATACAAATTTGAATAAAGTACAGAACATAATTCCTTATGATAAAGCAGTTCTCTTTAATTATAATACCATTTATCAATGGCCAAAATTTATAAGAGGAAATATTTGCTCTTCATCTGAAATCTGTGACACTCACTGTAACCTGGAAAACTCAACAACCCGCTTAGAATTTTAAATGTGCTTTCAAAATGTCAATGCGACATCTTATACATTCATTGACATTTTTGTTAAATTGTAGAACAACCATATTAGGTAGTACAACACAATTAAAACAACAAATGACTGACCATTTCATCATAGTATTCGACAACAAGCGACTTCTTGCCAAGCATTACATCTGTTTCACTTTGAAATAGTTTCAGCAAATGATAGATGGTCACCTGGAGAATAAAAAGAAATTTCACAAATAAACATGTCCATGGCAAATGAGGGTTATTCAAACATTGTTGCACACTGAATTAGTGAATTGTATACTTACGTTTAGTCACCAAGCTTAATATGAATGATGTTAAGACAAATAAATACTTAGAAAACGGAAACAATCCATTTACTTTATTTTAAAAAACTGCACTGGCAGATCTCCTATGATTTGTAGTAGCAAAGCAAGAGGAAGAAAAAACACAGCGATACAAAACGATAAAACTGCTCCATGATTACATTCAAATAGAGGTATTATATGCCTTGAAATATTGAAACTCTACCAAACAGACATGAACAATGAGCATGAACAAGGGAGACTTGTATACAATACCCAACATTACAACAAGGGTGAACTCTACACAATGAAGACACACATGGTACAGGGGAGAAATTAGTTAAAAGAGCAGCCAACGTGTCAAAAGGCTCTGATGGCGCTTGCTAGCAAAACATGAAAAAGTTGCAGGAGGATGAGAAGAGAGAACTCTCAGAGACTCTCAATGACAATGATCATAGGCCGAGGAGCAGCGTGATACCTGAAGACTGGCTTAATAGTCATTGTACCCCAGTAGTGCCCAAGCCAGACAAAGATCATTGTCGCATATCCTCATATTGTAACCGTGCATAAAACAATGGTAAGATGCTGGAGAAAAAAATGGCTGGAAGACTAGCAGCAGAGCTGGAGTCAAAGGCCATGCTCCCACCAGAGATTAGTAGCTATAGAAAGGGAAAAGAAATATGAGAGAACACTGTAATCCTTGTGTCGGATGTCTATGATCACTTTGAGATAGGGTGGACCCTGGGGAGAGGGGGGGAGCAGCTATGGACATGAACTGCCCGTGACGATCCTGGGAGCAAAGGAAAAGTCCAGAAGACTGGCAGAAAGCCATAGAGGTCCCACTATGGAAAAAGAAAAGCAACAAATGGGACTGCACAACGAACTAAGGCATCTCTTTATTAAGTCACGCAGGAAAAATATACGCAAAGATACTAGAACAGTGGATAAGACCTATTGTAGTTGTAGAGAGAAATCTGGGCAAAGCTCATTTAAGATTTCAAAAGGGAAAAGGATGCATGGATGCTGTATTTGCATTAAGACAGATATACGAGAGAACAATTGAACACAACGAAGAATTCAACATCATCTTCATTGATCAGGAGAAGGCTTTTGACAGAGTAAACCATGCAAAACTCTGAAGACACTCGAAAAGTATGGCGTCAGAGGACAAATGTTAGAAAATGTCAGAGCTCTATACACCAACAGCAGAAGCTCAGTTAGAACGAAGGAAGGCAATATAGACTGGTTCAAAGTAAGATCTGGAGTACGACAGTGATGCGTTCTATCTCCCCTCCTGTTTATAATATATATGGACACAATAACGCAAGATGCAAACCAAAGCCCAGAAAGCCTAAATGAATTTCTGTTCACAGACGACCAATGTCTTATTCATCATGACCAACAAAGCCTCCAAAATCACACTACCAAACTCAACAACAGCTGTGAGAAATTCAACATGAAAATAGGCACATCAAAAACAGAAGTTATGAAAGTGAGCCGAAACCAGTCCCCTGAACATCCATGTCAATAGTAAACAACTGAAACAGGTGAAGGAGTTTAAATATCTTGGCAGCACTTTTTCTGAAAACGGGTCCATAGACAGAGAAATAGAGATGCGAACTCAAAAAGCCAACACTGTCACCTACCAGCTCGCACCCCTCCTATCGCATCCAAACAGCTCCATGGACACAAAGAGACAGCTTATCACCTCAATATTCATACCAACATTAAGCTACCAGTGCCAGACCTGGACATAAGGTAAAAGCCATAAAAGTTTTAGTTTTAGTAGAGTTTTTATGGCGCTCACAACTGCATAAGGTCATACGAGCGTCACAAAACTACCCATGAAATCAAAATCACCGTACGCGAAATGAAATGTCTCCACAAAACTCCATCACAAGACGAGACAGGTAGAGAAATGAAGATGTAAGAGCATGAGCAACTATCGGCATTGAGTCCTGCCTGCATTACATAGAAAAAAAGAGAATAAAATAGTTTGGCCACCTGTTACATATGTCACCTGGCCAGCCAGCCTTGAGAGCCTACAACACCAAGCTATAAGGCCATAAAGGAAGAGGAAGGCCATGAAAAAGGTGGATAGAGTGTGTCAAGGAAACCCCGAGAAAACATAATATCACAACTGAAAGAGCTGCGGAGCTGGCCTACCATAGATAGAAACCTGCATCTCCCCTTGACGCTTAACAGAAACAGAGGATGAAAAAGTAAAAGTAAGTACCATGCCGCTCACTTCTCCGATGCGGGAATGGAGAGGTCACAGTGCTGTGATGGATGGATCAAATGTGTGGCATGGGCAGGGTGTGGTGTGTACCCATGTGCGGAAACAGATGAACACACCACAGGGTGTGATGGAGGGGGGAGGAGGACAACATAGCGGGCGAGTTAGCCTAAAGCCCTTTCTTTCTGACCACCAACGCCGAGCAATCAACATTGCTAGCGCTAGAGAATGAAACCTGATTCGGTTTTTGATCAAGAAAGACCTTGATCACCAGGGGAGATAACAACCAAACTCATAGACGAGGCCTACTTTATTATTTCCCTTACACTTATTACTGGATCCCTTGTAACGAGAATCCTGATATAACGGATATTTCTCACCAGTCTCCTCCCTCTCCTTATAACAGGATTCCACTGTAATGGATTTTATTCATTAATATAATAATCAAAGGCACTGTGGTGAAATTTATCTCCTACTTCCCGAATTATCTGAGATAAAAGACGACAGAATAAGAATATATTATATGAGAGACCTTCACGTCTCCTACAAAACAAGCTTTCTCTGAGATTTTTAAAAAAGTTCTCTATACCGGTACACACCTTTCAAGTAATTCTAAAATTTGAAAATGTTTTTGATTGTAAAAGAAAAGTTGTTCCCTCATCCGATCCGGACATTGGGGATTGCCTTGTTAGTGAGACAAGTTCCTGGGCCTTCGGCATATTGTGGTAGGGTGGCTAGTTCTTTTCCATGCCGCCTTTACTTCCCCAACTCGAAGTGAGGTACCCATTACTGCTGGGTGGGCAGGAAGGGGCGAAAAAAATGCGTGTCCGAACCGAGGCTCGAACCCGGACTTTCCACTTCGGAGACGAGCCCATTAATCGCTCCGCCACCACACCCTCCTTTGATTGTACTGTGCATTTAATTGAGCATTTTGCGGGTTGAAAATGGAAATGCGCTGCACAAATGCTATTTATTATTATATTACCATCATTATTATTACAGTCCAGTTTGGGAGAGACACAAGCAATATGAATACCAAGAATATACTTACTGGTCTCTCGGCAGGATCATTGAAGTAAATCTTAATAATAATCTCAAACTCGCCCCATCCAGTCTCTGTCACTTCATAAGGAGGTTTTGTCACAACTGAATAAGAGAAAAGATAAAAAGTGTGATCATAGAATGTGAACTACCATAAAAACTTTTTGTCATATAAATATACATACATATGAAAAAAAAAGGTGGTTGTAGGTAGGGGGAAGACTGAGGAGCAGAGAAATTTTTGACTAGACAGATACTTTTACAACAAGTAATTAACTAAGATTACATGTGAGAATTGATGTTCTCTTCTACATATAAGACATTATATAAAATAAGAAAACTATCAATTTAGGAATCAACCGTTTGGCGATGTCATTAAAACTAAAAAGAGAGGTAAATAATTCATGTGAGCAAGCGTTATCATGTTAGGAGGAGCTGGAATACTCTCAATTAAGGAATTATTAGTATTCATGCAATCTGTATACCTCACAAGATCTTTCAAAAGAAAAAAAAAGGAAACCTAAAACCTTAACTGCTACACACAAAAAGCGAAATAAATCCTTTAAAGTATCTCAAGCCTCCCAATGTTAGAAGTAAACAGCTCTAAAAAAATCAGACAATATAGTCACAATTTAAATAATCTTAAACAATTTCAAATGCATCATTCTTATATAAAGTTAAAGATACACAAAAATCAAACTGAAGTCTGAAATTTTACCTCTATTAGGGTTAGGATAGCTATCATGTAACTTGAAGTTGATCTTTTTGACATATGCAGACATGTCCTGGGAAATAAAAAAGCAACACCATGAGTCACATCAATCAAATTAATTTAATCTTAATCATTATTCAAAGCAGAACAAAAGCAAAATATCATTTGAAGAACTGTGTAAGATAAACTTCATGAGATAACTTGTACCGAATGCTAAAACAGTGGCAGCTTGAATTGAAAGGCTAAAACGCTTAATAGCTTTCTGTGGAAACAAGTATAGTACATGAGCTGAGAGAGAGAGAGAGAGAGAGAGAGAGAGAGAGAGAGGGAGAGAGAGAGGGAGAGAGAGAGAGAGAGAGAGAGAGAGAGAGAGAGAGAGAGAGAGAGAGAGAGAGAGAGAGAGAGAGAGAGAGAGAGAGAGAGAGAGAGAGAGAGAGAGGGACTTGCTAGAACTGAAACACAACTATTTCATAAAAATTTAGGCTTTTGGACAATTCTTTTCAGCCTATGGACAGGCAAGATTATGTAAGCATACTATTTAATTCATTTATTAGTGGATGCATTTGCAGCAAAATTACTCAGCAATCACATGACTGAATTGAACACCAATTAATATTATACTTCTTAAAGAAAGTTGTAGTGCCTTCTGCAAACAACAAGTAATGTGTGATGATGACTCTCGATACCAGCAGCTTGTGGATCATGCTGTACGGGAGCAAGTCTGGTGGGTTCACATTTATAATCTGATCCTCTCTATTAAGATGGGTGTGTTTGATTTCTGTCATGCGTGCAGAATGATTTGAATTTAAGACTATTGTGAGGAAAAATTCGATCAGGTTCTTTTCGAGTTAAGCTGAATATAGTGCTACTAATGCAAAGAAAATAAACTTCAGTTGGGGAATACTGTACTGCATACTAATTGACAAGATCAAATGAAAGGGCAGTAAATGAGTAAATCACTACAACATGGTCTACCTCATTCTTGTATGGCTTGACATAGACTGTCCACTGGTGAGTATGGCCATCTTCCTCTCTTTTCTTCCCAAAGTAACGTGCGATATTACCATACACAACTGGCTTTACTACAGTCACACCCTAAAAAAGAACAAAGAGTATCATGTCAACCGAGTCTTTCAGCACACCCAGGACCTATGGCCAATAGTACACACTGCAGACAAGAACCAGAACACAAATTTTGCTTCGCCCAGTCTGTTGTATAAATAAAGAACAACAACCCAACTGTTACATGATACAAAAGCCAAAACAATGGGTAATTAGCCACTTGGAATTAGAAGTTACTTATTGACACAATCAATGATAACGATGAATCCAATACTGGAAAGATGTCTTTTGTGATAAACTGAGGATTGATAGAGAATTAGCAAGATTCCGCTAGGTTTAGGCTTAATTTAGCCCCAGGATTATAAGCTTCACAGGTACCTATGACTAGACTAGATAGAGATCTCTACACCTACAGCAATCTGTCTTGGGGATTGCTGTGGATTGTGAATTAATGTAGGAAGTGACAAAATTGTGATTGTTGCAATCTTCCAGTTTGAAACGTTATAATTCATATTTGCCGGATCTGAGTTTTATTAAAAAAGGGTTATGGTCCGATCAATTAGACTCATGATAGTAAAAGTCAGTATTTGTTCAGTGACAATATTTTAAATCAGAATCTTCCAACATGGAACGTTTTATTCACATTTTGTTATGGTTTGGTTATAAATGACTATCCATAACTCTTGATTTGAATAATGGTTAGGTTTATGGCTATTTCTAACTCACTCTCGACCTCACAATCTTCCAGACAAGAGTGATAAATCTGTATTGACCTATGTTTAAAAAAATATTATTTAAAAAATGGAACACATGCATTTTTGTTAGAAATTCAGGAAAAAAGTGATGTTCACCGAACAGCTACCCCCCCCTCCCCCGTTCAGGAGGGTTAAAAAAAGTAAAAGTAAGGCGGGTTACCCTAACCTCCTTACCCTACCCTAATTCTTACTCAACCAAACCGTAACTTTTATCGTATCACCTGTATTTGCAATATTACCATCGGTTACATTTCTGGCGATTTCAGAGTGCACACTAGGCTATTTAACTATAATAATAGACCCCTGCCTCAAACCGACTGTCTGACATACGGCCTTAAAAATGTGAATGTTTGTTCTTGAATGTCCTCGTCAGTTTTGTTCAATTGTATACGAAGACAGCTTTTCTCCCTCCACCATGGAGGAACATCTGGCTTGCCCTGACGACGAAACTGAGCTGAATCGATCTTGCCAATGGATGGCAATCGGTACTGAGAAGGCAGAGTCTGCCTTATTCTCATTCAAAATCCATATATATATTTATTAATTATAGTAGACTAACTTTTGTACTACTTTAGAAAGTGGGTCCCATCTGTTTAGACTTGGCATCATCCACAAAGAGGAGGCTACTGGGTATCGATACTGATTTAAATATTCGGTGTATCGATATGTTTTATCCCAACGAGAGTGAGAGATGCACTGTTATTTTTCAGTAGCCTACAAAATGAGCAGCAAAGTTTCACTTGTTTTTAACAAGGGGGGTTTCACTAACAAAAGGAAGCGTCAATTGCTATCGAGTGAAGCGGTGGCAACTGACGCAAGTGTTTATTGCCACTGAGTGAAGCGGTGTCAAGTCTGAACAAGCATTTATAATGTGTTACGAATACATGACATAAATAAAAGTTAGATTTAACCCCCTCTCATTAGGTCTAGTTGATAAGTCATAACGAGTGGTTACACACATTCCTGGGTTCGAAAGGAAATAGTATAGAGGTCAATTTCCAAATGTTTTGTACTCAAATTTTTCTTTTTACCTCTACATTATAATGGTACTCAAAACTATCTATCTATAAACTTATTTTTATCAGAGGTAATCCTTTCGAATCACGCATGCGTTTGAATAAATTCAAGTTCATGAAAGATTTTGTGTACAGTAAAATAGTTCAGAAGTCTTATTCCTGGCTCTCCTTTCGAGCTCCTCAGGTCTAAGTGGGTCAATTTGTTCTCTAATTTCATTGGACGAACATCTAGAGAGCTACCAACTTCAACTTGGCGTGTTTTGAATGAGACGTAGGCTAACCTACGCTTCAGTGAAGAACCAACACAGGCGATTCTAGTAGTAGGCCACAAATGCAGAAATACACTTATATATATCGAGGTACATAAATCCGGAGGACGGGGGTTAGGGACAGAGAGAGGAGAGACACACACACACACACAGAGGGACATAGAGACGTGCATAAGCGGAAGTTCACGAACGCAGAACACCATCACCAAGCACACATTAGATCTACTCACCAACGCAAAGGACCCCCAATGTACTCTGTTTTATTGACACAGGCGTCAACTGTCACCGAGTCACTCGGAGGCAATTGACACTACCAAAAAACATGCGGGGCGGGTTAAGGAGGCATGCCCCCCCCCCCCTTGAATTTGGATTGAATTTACCTTTTTGATTTGGGAAGTGGCTATTCTCATCCGGGGTGAGAATAGAAATATGATCGACCTCTCACCCCGGGTGAGACTTGCGACCGTAGGCTATTCTCACCCGGTTTGAAACAAGACCTATTTTTCCTAATTTCGGAATACTTTCTATCGATGTGGATGATCAAATTGATAAAAGCCAAGAAAAAATTACGTTATAGCACAAAAGTAAGCTAATTTGATTGTCTTCAAAACTTTCAAAGATGTTATAATGGCTATTTCACTGTTCGAATCGAGGCGAACTACGCGGGTCGCCATTTGTTTTGCCCGGAAGTTCTCGCAAGATCTACTCCTCCCCTCTCTATCTGTCTCTTTCTGAATAATGTCTGTCCGTGTGGACGATCAAATTGACCAAAACAAAGTTAAAAAATGATGTTAAAACACAAAAGTAAATTAATTTGGTTGTCTACAAAGATGCTACGGCTATTTAACTTTTCGAATCGAGCCGAACTACGCGGGTCGCCATTTTGTTTTGACCGGAAGTTCTCGCGCTACTCCTCTCTCTCTCCACTGCCCACAGACAAAATTGTACGCTTTTACTTTTAGTAGTAGGCTAACAGTTGTAATGGAACGTTTGTTCACGGCACAGAATTCTACAATTTAAATTATTTTTCTGTTATCACAGTGTAAAATTCTGTTGTTTAGGGTGAGCGCAAAAAATGTTGGCCTAGATCTAGGCTATAACGGTGAACGCGCACCGGGTGAGAATAGCCAAAAGACTCGCCTGCACCCGGGTGAGAATAGATTAGAGGTGGCCTTTGATTTGTGCCGTGCCAAGTTGTGACTTAGACCTTAGACTTAGGCTAGATCTAGGTCTAGATTTCTTGTATTAGATCTAGATTTAGATATTAGATCTATCTAGATCTAAGTCTAGATTTTAGATTCTAAGATCAAATTGGTTTAAGTTAGTTGATGAAAAAGGTAGCGAAGAAATGAATCAAGTCTTTCTACTTCGTCTTTCTACAATTCTACACTCTACTTCTACACTACTACACTCAACTGTTGTTTGAACTGAAGTCAGTTTAACTTAATTTAGACAAGAACTTTCAAATTCAAACAGATCTAGATATAGATCTAGTCTAGATCTAGAATCTACTGACTTCAGAATAAAGTGATGATGCGTAATTTGTTACAAAGCAGCTTTGCGAATCAAACTTCATACCTTCAATCTTCCAGTGTTGTCTTGAATGGAGGCCGCCATTTTCGACGTATTCCTCAAAAATGTTGTTTCTATGACTGAAGAGTCTGAAGAGTCCTTGAAAAGTTGAAATGGCGAAACGATACGAGTTTCATTCAAGTGAGACAGACTTGTCTCGGCTATACGGAAACTATCTGAGAATCTGATTTGTTTATCCCCCCCCTCCCCCCAAAACCCCCAAACAAACAAACAAACTATTTCATCAAAAAAGATCTTTAGATATTATGTTCATTCTTGAAGTTTTATTTTTTTACTGATCGCTCTTTAGGCTATGCAGAAATTTTCGAAACTACATAAATTCGCTGGTTTTTCATGGTAAGTTTAGCGGGGTTTTCAGTTGCTGTCAAAGCGACATAACTCGCGATTTCTTTTGTACAACTGACTGCTGGCTGAATAAACAATGAACACTGACTGTACTGATGTTTTAGTACACAGCTGTTGTCTGAAGATGCCGGCGACGGTCTGAGTCGCGGAGTGTTGACGCGTCAAGTGAAGCTATTAGTAGAATGATTGGGCTGTGACGCACACAACAAGGTAATGATTAGTAAAGAATCTGCATTTATTGAGATAGAGACTGCCATAAAGCAATGCCACGTAATGCCAAAACAATAAAATAACCCTGACGGCACGGTGGTAACGACCCGGTCTGATGGATCTGAGCCTGAGTCAGAATTTATTTTTCACACAAGAATCAAGTTCAAGAGAATAAAGTGCCAGATCTGGTAAAGCAGACATATCGGCAGTCGTGTTTCACCGTTACTCAGTCTACTCTTAAAAAGCACCATTCCAGCCTTATTTTATTATGCCTTATATCATCTGGCCCTGGCCATTCTCCGTCAACAGTCTGTTGCATTCTACTGAGGCTACATTAAAAGCTGTCTATAGTATAAATAGGCTATAAGCTACGATGAGAATCCTCAGATTGGCTATGGATCACAAATAATTTAAAAGGAAAATTTAGGTGATAATGATACATGATACGAATACATGATGTTACATTATATATGTCTCACAGATTATAATTTGTTGCCAAAATAATTATAATAATGAGTGATTTTTTTTTTACATGAAGGATTTTCGTTTTTGCTGGGTGACTAAATGCAAAATAGGTTACTGCCAAGGTCGAGCAGTCTTGTTTTCTCGCAGTACCTTTTGAAGGTATTTTCAAATTAAGTATTTTCTGGGAACGTTGCCCCAACCACAACTTAAATGTATCTGAATATTAAGACATTTAAAAATCTCTAGCTCTAGAAATCGAATTTGATGCAAAAAATGCTTCCTCGCAGAATGGCAGAATGAAAGAATGACGCCTAAATCTCGCAAACAACCAAAAAAGCTTGAGATCAGAAACCGTTTGTAGAGTTCTGCTTTATTTTCCTGAGCGTTGGGAGAAATAGTCACTTCGTAATAATAACTGCATTTATAGAGTGATAAAATCTACGCTCTACACCATGCTGCATTGCTATGCATGGGGCAGTATGAGCTTTGCAACACTCCAACAGACTATTAAAAGAACACTCAGAAATATTCTTGGCCCTAGTTTTTTTTCTCGGCCTTCCTTGCTGGTGGCAAGCAAGCTGCGGATTACGTAAGTGCTCATACACTAACACGTTGACAAGATTTTTCACTGTCAATAGTTTGGTACCCATTCCCATTTCGGTGAAGGGAGGAAAATTCGTGTAAAGTCCCTTTCCCAAGGACATTACGTGGGGTCCCTAATGGATTCGAACTCATGACCTTACCGTTGTGAGTACAAGAGCCACTGACGCCAAATAATATCATATTGGCCATATATATATAATATTTTTATGTCTTTATTTTATTTGTTCTGCATTTGGACAACTGTCTCACTATATTTATATTTTGTTCTGTGTTAAGGTGTTCTTCAGAAATATGGACAGACTTAAAATTACATCACTATTTTTTTTATTATAGTAGAGGGTTTTACGGCGCTCACAACTGCATTAGGTCATATGAGCGCCAAATTACATCACTGATTGTCGAAAGAATACATATATCATATGTCTGATAAGTTTGTATGACGAGTGCCTGATTTCACCAAATGCCACACATTGTGACATTATCACAATGGCACTCCAAGGTGTCCACCTGTCAAAGACAGCCACTTTATCGTTGACAATAGGACAACTTCTAAACATATTATAGTTGAAAGTGAGGCATCGTGGTGAAATCAGGCTCTCATCAAATTAATGAAATCAAAGAAATCACCTTTTATTTGGCTGATGGTCAATTTTTACATAATTTTCTTTTGTTAGCTCAGCTCCTTTCATGTCCATTTAACAACACCTTTTTTATGTGGATTTTACTAAAAAACATTGATTAAAGGCACAGAAAAGGTAGGGTAAATTTTCAGTTTCCAGGGACACTGAGGCTATGGAAGTTACCAAACTTTGGCGGCCATTTTCTCACTAATTTCTCCTCTGATACCAGGAGACCCTGACCTCCTTCAATCGCAAATATACCGACTTCTTTTCTACATGGATGGATGTTTTTTCACTAAAAGGAAGGCAAATGAACATGCATTAAGATGATACCAATAGCCCCATCATATGTCCAAAAATTGACGAGCGCCTGATTCCACCACGTTGTGACACATATATTATTATAATAAAAATTAAAATCCTGATGACACCAACTTTTTCAGACCAGGGAATTTCTGTGTGTAAAGCAAATTTCATGTTAGGGAAGGTGCAATACCAAGTATTAAAGTTAAAGAGACAGAAAAAATGGGGAAACTCTTCTTTTGTGATTTCAGAAATTTTGTATTAAATGGCAAAAATACTACTGTTATGCATGGACCCACATGTACATGTTTAC